CAAATCTCTGATGGACTGGTTGAGATAACATGGTATTTTCCTGACGGTGATGATCTAAAGGAAAACCCTAGTTTTTTTCCAAAAGCCTGTTGTAGTGGCCAACCTTCATGGAGATCTAGAAAGTTTTTGGACACAGTTTAGTCTTTTGAGGGAAGTTTCCTCAGCTGTGTTTTTTTTTTTTTTTCACTGACTGCCTAGGTGAGAAGGAATGGGACCTGCTAATATTTTTAGGAGAAGCAGCCATTGAAGATCTTGCTTTGTTCTTAGTCCCCAAGCCAGGGAGAGTGAAGAGGCTCAGATCTTCCAGAGGGTCCTGAAATTGAAACCAACACAGCTACTGTTTTGGGAGGGGGAGGCAGCTGGGGATAGAAGGAAGAACATGGAAGGCCTTCAAGCTGCCTTCCAGGAAGTGATGTCTTCTTCACTCAGATGTGTGTCCATGGAGGACATGGCCTGCCTGGCTAGGGAGTTGTGGATTCAGGTAGACCAAGACTTTGAGAATGCTCAAAGACTTCAAGTTTTCACTAGTGAAAATATGGCTGGAACAGCTGAAGGTGAAGGACAACAAAGACATAGTCAGCCAGAAAGCTCATCTGAAAGCCAAGCTCAGATGCTTATAAGAGAACCTGGGGACAGATGTGCAGTCAGCCAGAATCTTCAGAATTTTCACCATATCCCAGTATTTATGCCTCATCTAGAAAACTCCTGGCCCTTACCAACCAGATTTGGAGGTAACTTTAACCAGGTTTCCTTGAAAGCCTCCTGGGTTATGGGCTCCCACTTTGGGTCAGAGCAGAGGTCTAAATGGTTCTGTCATTTGCCTTTTCAGAATACAAGGGGCCATAGTCAAGGCAAAAGTTTTGGTATTCAATACTTCCAACCCCAGAGATTTTATTCAGGTGAAAGATGCATGAAATTTTCAAGAATGGCTTGGGGGGGGCCGGCCCGTGGCTCACTCGGTAGAGTGCGGTGCTGATAACACCAAGGCCCCAGGTTCGGATCCCATATAGGGATGGCCGGTTTGCTCACTGG